ATATCCGTTAGCCAAAATGTGTTTAAAATTAGGATTAAAGTCAATGCAGTTTTGAAATTAAATTTATGGCTGCTCCTGTTGAACCATTTTCTTGAGAGTACAGTGTACTCAGCATTGAGAGTATAGCTCTTTCAATAATATTAAATATTAACCTTGGACTTACTTGCAGTTTTTTTTTTTTTTTTGAAAACAGTGTTTTCAACCTTAGATGTGTTTAAAAGTGAGATTTTTGTTTCTGTTTTTTAATTTTTAACCCAAGCCCTCCATGGTTTAAGGTAGATTGGATTGAAGTTTTTAATGTCTAGCCTAGTGATTCATGACATTTTGAAGAGTTCTCTCAAGTGTATTGACTTGTTAATTTAGTAAATTTAATATACTTGTTCAGCTTGAATTTAATGGTGTGATAATGCATAGCTATACATTTATTTAGGTCCTGTATACTTACTAGCATACTCTTAAGTGTAAGAGAAAAGATATAGATGAATAAAAAAAGTCCCGGCGCCTGCCAGCCTGTGACCTCGCAGCGCCGCCTCTGCAGGTCTGCTGCGATGCCTGTCGCGGTGGAGGACATCATGAGGCTCCTGTGCTCCGTCTCCGAGGAGAGGAAGATGTGGGCGGCCGTCAAGCACTCCGGGAGGGGCGGCCTGGTCACAGGGGCCGTGGCCTTCGTTGGTGGTTTGGTGGGCGGGTCACCAGGACTAGCCGTTGGGGGGGCCGTCGGGGGTTTGTTAGGCGCTTGGATGACAAGTGGACAGTTTAAGCCAGTTCCTCAGATCATAATGGAGCTGCCACCTCCTGAGCAGCAGAAGCTCCTTAACGAAGCCACTGCCATCGTCAGGCGCCTGGAATGGACAGACGCCGTGCAGCTGACCATCCTGGTCATGGGCAGTGAGGCCCTGCAGCAGCAGCTGCTGGCGATGCTGGCCAACTACGTCACCAAGGAGCTCCAGGCGGAAGTGCAGTGCTACGGCTAGGCCTCTGCTCCGGGAAGCGGGGTCCATTTAGATGATTCCCCCCGACTCATGGAAGGTGACTGGGGAGCTGCAAGAAGCCCCACATCATCAGAATATTACCCTAAACTGTAGCAAAGTCTCCTGCTGGAGAGGCTGGGGCTGTGCTATATCATGTTCTGGAAGTTATTTAAGATGCCGTGTTTTGTGGCCCTGTGCACCTGTGTGCCCTGACAACCCTTCAACTGGGAAGCTGGTGAACAGTAAAGCCGTGACTGCTGCCACGTAGCGGCAGTTTTCTGAATCTACTCTCGCTCACATAGGGGCTGGAAGAAGGTCTTCACGTTCAGCCTTCTCATCTCATCACGAGAAGATGATGCCTGTCCAGGCAGCCGTTGCCCCGACCAGCCCTCCCTTGGGACCTTGGGGCTGTCCCCTGCTGGAATCATGTTTACCTCTTGAACGCCCCTTCCCCACCCAGTGACTTCTGAGTGGCCTCAGGGAGGGGGCAGTTGGCCTGCTGAGTGAAGCCACAAACGTCAGTGGCACCCAGCCTCTCCCCCAGTAACTGCCCGACTGGGCTCTCGCCCTCCCAGGGGCTTGCTTTCCCCATCTGAAAAGTCATAGTAGTTCTTGAGTGATGTTTTTTAAATTAAATATTTTCAGTAAAATTATTGCTCTTTCTGAAGTGGTAGAATTATAAACTAAGAAATGTGCCCACCCTAAATTTCCACCCTAAATTTCACCCTAAATTTCCCCTAAATGTTTTCTGAACAACAACAACAAAAAGATGAATAAAAGATGAATAATATGTCCGAGTTAAGGGACTCTTACATGTTAGACACTGTGTTGTTAAATGCCATAGGTTAATCACTTGTTGATTTCCACAGTCCTTAAAGTATTAAAAATATAATAGTGAATACTTAATTTTGCTCCTTCTGTGGGCCAGCCTGTGTTCTTAGCTCTTTGTTTATATTCATTTATTCTTCACAGCAACCTGATCTGATGAGATGTAGGTACTGTTATTCTTGTTTTAGAGGAACAGAGGTGAAGGAACTTACCCTGACTCACACAGCTAATATGAGGCAGAGTTGGGAGTCAGTCCCTGTGGGGCTGCAAGCTTAACCACTATAGTGCTTCTGGCTGTAGGAAGATATTAGGAAATAGATGCTGTTTTCATTTTACAGATGGGAAATTGAAGCTTAGAGATATTAAGCAACATATCCAAGGTTATACAAATACAGTGACAACCAAGTTCCAAATTCTAAGTCTATCTTATTTCAAAAGGGGGAGATTACTTCTGTCTAGGAGGATCAGGCAAGCTTAATTTGAAGATATAGTTTGATCCAGGCCTTGAATGAATTACTGTCAGCACGAATGTGGGAAACTGGTGCCTGTTGGGAAACATTGAGCGGTCAGGTTTAACAAAGTATGCAGGGATTTAATGGCAGAAATAAAGCTGGGAAGGTAAGTGGGGCTAGATCTTGGAGAACCTTGTTGTAGGGCTAAGGAAATAAGACTTTTCTTTTTTTTTTTGCCTGCATACGGTATTTGTTTTTCTCTTTTTGGCTGCGTTTGGTCTTCGTTGCTGTGCTCGGGCTTTCTTTTAGTTGCAGCGAGTGGGGGCTACTCTTCGTTGCAGTGCATGGGCTTCTCATTGCGGTGGCTTCTCTTGTTGCGGAGCACGGGCTCCAGGCATGCAGGCTCAATAGTTGTGGCGTGCAGGCTCAGTAGTTGTGGTACACGGGCTTCGTTGCTCCGCGGCATGTGAGATCTTCCCGGACCAGGGCTCGAACCCATGTCTCCTGCATTGGCAGGCGGATTCTTAACCACTGCGCCACCAGGGAAGCCCAAAACTTTTCTTTAGAATAAGAAAATAAGACTTTTCTTTAGAATGTGGTGGGACACCTTAAATCATTTACTGATTTCTTTTGGTACTGTCTCCAGCCAGTATTGAAAATGCACTACTATGCTTGTGCCTTTAAAAAAGAGAAAAGAGGGACTTTTCTGGTGGCACAGTGGTTAAGAATCCGCCTGCCAATGCAGGGGACACAGGTTCGAGCCCTGGTCCTGAAAAATCCCACATGCTGCGGAGCAACTAAGCCCGTGTACCACAGTTACTGAGCCTGCGCTCTAGAGCCCGTGAGCCACAACTACTGAAGCCTGCGCGCCCAGAGCCTGTGCTCTGCAACAAGAGCAGCCACCGCAATGAGAAGCCCGCATACCGCAATGAAGAGTAGCCCCTGCTTGGGGCTTCCCTGGTGGCGCAGTGGTTAAGAATCCGTTTGCCAATGTAGGGGACACGGGTTCGAGCCCTGATCTAGGAAGGTCCCACGTGCCGTGGAGCAACTAAGCCCGTGCGCCACAACTACTGATCCTGAGTGCCACAGCTACTGAAGCTTGCGTGCCTAGAGCCTGTGCTCTGCAACAAGAGAAGCCACCCAATGAGAAGCCCGCTCGCCGCAACTAGAGAAAAGCCCACGCGCAGCAACAGAGACCCAACGCAGCCAAAAAAAAAAGAGTAGCCCCTGCTCGCCGCAACTAGAGAAAGCCTGCGCGCAGCAACGAAGACCCAATGCAGCCAAAAATAAAAAAATTTATTTAAAAAAAAGAGAGAGAAAAGATAAAACTCTGGCTTCTAGCATTGACACTTAAAAAATAATGTCTGTCAATTCAAGTAAAAAATTCAGGCTGCCTAATTTTCACTTAATTTCCTACTATACTCCAAACTCCTTGAGGCCAGGGATTAGGTGGTGGTTAATTTGGTAAACAGAACTCAGACAAGGGGAGGGTCTGTAAGTTAATTAAAATTCAAGTAATAGCAGTCTGCTTTTTGGCATCACATTATTTCTAAAGACGGTTTATGAAAACAGCTTAATATATGAAATAATTAAAGTTGTAAGTCATTCAAAATGCCTAAAAAAACAGCTTATATGGGAATGTAGATTTTAAAGGTATATTTGGTATTCTCCTTGAAGAGCAAATTCCTAAAGTTGGAACTTAGGGCATCTTTACTGAGGGAGTCTGGCTCATCATAGTTGTTGAAAGACTGTAAGAACTGATGAACTAACTTAAGTTCATTTACTGTGTTTTTCACCACCTATATTTCATCAGTGGCTCAGAAAGCAAAATATGATTTTGGGGCCTTAACATTTAGAAAACTATATAATCTTAAATACCGTGAGCCAAAAGGAAATTTTATGCTTTGTCTTTCTGGATTACAGAAGGCCTTTTTTTCTTACAAATTTTTCTTTCTAAATGTGAAAAAATAAAGGGAGATAATTTTTTGTTAATGTTTCTTCCATCCTTATAGTCTTCCTTTATCTCAGTTTTTCTGCCATGTCACTTTAAATATTTTTATAGTGTTTCCTGTTAAGTTTTATTTTCAAGGGAAACTTTGGTTGAATATAAATGCTGAATTTCATAAGCTCTTTCCACCAGTATTTCTTAAACTTGGCAGTTTGAGTGTCTTTGCTAAAAATACTAGTTTCCTGTTGGTATATTAGACAAAAGAACTTATCTGTTCTTTCATCTTATCCTGCTGAAAGTTAGAGCATGTGTTACCAGCCTACTTTTTCTAAGCCAAATGGTACAAAATATGTTTTATTAACAAATATATTCCAAACATTTGCTCTTTTTGTATTCTTTGAGAAAGCGATGACTTAATGGTTGATTTACTATGAGTGGTATAGGAAAAATGTTTTCTTACTAAAACCACATGTTCTTACATTGGACTTTTTTTTTCCTCCAGGAAATGCTTTGGTTTTTAAAAAATTAGAAAGAAAAGGAAAAGTGAAGGCCAGTGCCTTGAAATGTTCCTTAAGTTTTAACTAATTTGCCATCTAATATTAAGAAAGTTTGATAAAATATTTTGTCTTAGCCATACCGATGATTGTTGTGCAGCTATAAAATAGGTAAAATTATTAGAAAGCAACAACCTTCCCCTCCAACACCCAGTCCAAAACCCTCACCAAACTTAATGTTCCATAGGTGAGAGAAAAAGTTGTGTTTTTACCACTTTTTCATGTTTTCATATTTTCATTTCCCCAGCACTAGAAAGTTTAGGCTTTGGCTCTTATATCAGTGAAGTAAAAGAAGTCTTACAAGAATGCAAGACAGTAGCATTAAAAAGAAGAAAGGCCAGTTCTCGTTTGGAAAACCTTGGCATTCCTGAAGAAGAGTTATTGAGACAGCAACAGGAATTATTTGCAAAAGTAAGTAACACGTTTTAAATTATTTTCATCTGAATCTGACCCTTTTTGCTAACCAAAATCATACTGGTTTCTAAAATCGTTTCCTTAGTCAACATACGTACCCCAAAAATTTTCTTTCTGTGGCTGATTGTTTGATCATAGAGCCTGATGTTAGGTCTGGCTAGTTTTTTACTTTATATAAAAGCAAATATTTGCAGCAGCCTATTTTCTGAGAAGAACTCCAAATAACTACTGAGATTTTACTTTGATGTTTTCTCAGGCAGAATGGCCATTTAAAAGCATGAAAAGTATACCTAAACATTCTTAAGATTTAAAATGATAGACTGGTGAGAAAATATTGTATCAAATTTTTAGACGAATGGCATATAAGAAAAATCTGATTAACATCTACTTTGTAGTTAAATTAGGACTTTAATACACCTTTAAAACATTCTAATCTTAAAAACTTTGAAGGGCCAGTGGAGCAGAGAAAGGGAGAAAACTTTTCTCCTTTCTTGCTTGTCACAGTTCTAATGTCCAGTCTGTGAAGGGTTAGCAACAAGTACTAATATCCCTTTATTTTTTAAGAAAGGAGGGGGGCTTCCCTACTGGCGCAGTGGTTGAGAGTCTGCCTGCTGACTCTCAGGGTTCGTGCCTTGGTCCGGGAAGATCCCACATGCCGCGGAGCGGCTGGGCCCGTGAGCCATGGCCGCTGAGCCTGCGCGTCTGGAGCCTGTGCTGCGCAACGGGAGAGGCCACAACAGTGAGAGGCCCACATACCGCAAAAAAAAAAGAAAGGAGGGGACCACAGGGAGCTGGGACTGAATGGAATTTGTGGCTAGCCTCTTAGAATTTCACCAATGTTATCTCTGTACCATCTTCTGGGCCTGCCTTGGCCCATCCTTAGAATCCTGGGTACCTTCTTCATTCCCTCCCAGGTCCCCTTGGTGGCAAAATAGAAGCAAGCTCTGTAACACATTTTGGAGCTATCCTCTGTGGAAGATCATATTTTCCAAAGATGACTGCTATAGTATATCTCACCCCTCGTGCTCTCCCCATGGTTCACTGTTCCTTGGTGTTATAGTAGAGGCAACAAAGGCTGGCAGCATCTATTACCTAATAAAAATACCTAGGGATGAAGATAAGGGGATGCAGAAGCCCACACAGCACAGCTTCCACATGGAGTGAATAGACACTACAACCAGTATGCACACATACCCCATGCTGATGGCAAAGACCAACACAAAAAAGCTTTCCATCAGTCCTTTCCACTCAGGGATGGGATGCAACACCTAGAATACCCACAGGTATGTAGGGCAAGAACAAGAGGAAGAAATTGAGAGAGAAAAATTGGCGTTTCCTTCTTCTCTACCAGGTTCCTTGAAGCTGGGGAGAAGACAGTTACAGAGTACAGTGATTCTTGAATGTGACTGAATATTTACTCCACATAAGACTGAGAGCTTAATAACCTGATTATTAAGAATGCAAATCACTGTTCAAGGCAAAACTTATCGGCTGGGGCTGAGGTACCTTAACGGTATTTTTACTTTCTCTTCTCTGTACCTCCTCCCCACCTACCCTGCAAAGGCAGGGGCAAGGAATTATGAACTTGAAAATTTATGATAACAGCTTAAAAAATAATCCATTCCATTTTTGGGTACTACTAAAATGCTCAGATTGCTCAAGCAAACTGTCTATATGTAAATACTTTTTTGAAATAAAGCATTTGACTGACTTGCCAGTGGGAAGATCTTGAAAGTTAGACCGAAATCGTTGGGCCAGAGGTTGTTCTATGGCAAACAGGATGTAAAATATGGAGTGTTTCAGTTCCATAGAGATACTTATTTCATCATGGGCATAGAGCTGTATGGTCATTTATAAATGTCTGTCCCTACCATTAGTCTGTAAGCTCCCTGAGGGCAGGACCCATTATTAGTTGTATCTCTAGCACCCACCTAACATGGTAACTAGCACAGGGGGAGTATTCAATAACTATTTGTTGAATGGATGACTGAGTTGGGTTGGTAAGTCAAGGAAGCACAGAACTCTAGGGGTGGAAGAGACTTTTGAAAATCATTTACTTCAACCTTGATGTTCCAAATTACAATTCTGAGGTTCAAGGAGGTTAAAGAACCTATTCACCATTATTTAAAAAAAAAGAGGGGAGAAGGTGATATTGTTTTTTCCCTACAAAGTTCTGGCTTCTCATTTGAAATTGAAAGACAGGTTTGGTTTGAATAGAATAAGAATTGCTACCAGTTACTGTAATTACCATTAGAACTGGGAAATACCATTTTAGGTCATCTCTTCCAGATTAGTACCATAACTGATCTCTTTGTAGTCATAACAACCAGTTTGGTTTATATTTAAAAGCATTTGAATTTTAAGTGTTATCAAGCACTAGACAGCAGATACCGTTTAAACTAATAAGGAAGATAAAAGCTTACCAACATTTGAGTTCTAAACATGTGTTAATCATGTTGCCAAGTAATTTACCAGTATTATTTCATTTAATCCTCACAACAACCCATGAAATAGGTGCTAAAGTGGAAAAGCCTTTGAGGCAGGCATGAGCACATGCAAACAGTGTTATAATCCATATGAATATGAGGTACCAAATGAGGAGTGATAATTTTTTTAAAAAGCTAATGGCAGACTTCCCTGGTTGTTCAGTAGTTAAGAATCTGCCTGCCAAAGCAGGGAACATGGGTTCGAGCCCTGGTCCAGGAGGATCCCACATGCTGCGGAGCAACTAAGCCCGTGCACCACAACTACTGAGCCTGCGTTCTAGAGTCTGCGAGCCACAACTACTGAGCCCATGTGCCACAGCTACTGAAGCCCGTGCGCATAGAGACTGTGCCCTGCAACAAGAGAAGCCACCGCAGTGAGAAGCCCACGCCCTGCAATGAAGAGTAGCCCCCACTCTCTGCAAATAGAGAAAGCCCGCGCGCAGCTAGACTAGAGAAAGCCCGCTTACAGCAACGAAGACCCAACACAGCCATAAATAAATAAATTTATTTATTAAAAAAAAAAGAGGCATGAAATAGCAAGATGTCTTAAAAAAAAAAAGCTAATGACTATTATTTATTGAGTCTCTACTATTGCAGATCACCTACAGGGTGCCAAAGGAAATATTTGATAAAAGGAAAATGATGCTCTGCTAAATATGTTATATACTTTGCAGAGTTCTTAATGAGTAATACAAATTTTACTATACCCATTTATGCCTTAAGAAACAGACTCAGAGATAGAGAAGCTTGCATGAGATCAGATCATTTGTTCTACAGACATTTATTAAAGTCTTCAGTATTTACCAGATATAGTGCTAGGTGCTAGGCTTCTAACAGTATAAAAAAGAGACATGGTTCCTATCATTATGAAGCTTAGTACTGGGAAGGATTGACTTAAACAAATGAAAGGGTAAGTACCTTTTGACTCCAAAACCTGTGCTCTTTCTACTATACTGTGCTAATGCTCTAGCCACCATTTTGTTTGCTTAAATTTATTTTGGAACTTTTAAGTGAAATGAACATGCTTTATCGTTTCTAGGGCAAAAAGATGAATGAAAAATAATTGACTGCCATATCTGTCTTCAGCTCTCTACACTTGTCATCTATTTTGTTTTGTTTTTTTCCCCTTATCTCCCTTCTTTCTTGCCCTGACCTATGGGTGAAAATACCCTAGTATTTCTTTGCTATTGTGAGAAAAATCAGAAGAGAAGTAAAATTATAGCAGCCGCTTAGTACTTTTTTTCCTAGAGCATAAAGTACTTTAGTCTTAAATATAAAAGGAACTGATAAATTATTATAACATCTTTTACATAACTTTCATTTCACTTAATCATTTAGACTTTATTTTATATGCCAAAACAATAGCAGCCTCATTTGAAGCTATCTTTCACTGTTAGCAGCAAATATTTGAAAAGGAGGTAATCTCTAATATGTTGAGATTAAAGTTAGCTGTAAATTATAAATGAGTTATTTTAGTGTGTGGAAGTGGGAAACTTAAAACACAATGAAAATCTCCAGAAGAAGTGAATTAGGAAGTATATGCCTACTTACTTCTCTTTCACTCTTCCATTTTAGAAGGAAAATACTTGGGATGGATTGGGTGAGAAGCAAAAGGGAAAAAAAGCAGAATAAATACACTGAAATTTTTAATTTGTGGAAATGAATACAAATAATATTTACCAATCAACGTTGATTTTAAAGACACTGGAATGCTTTTATGTTCAGAGAGAAAAGTATGGGTGCTGATATGGGGTGATGATACCTAAAAGTCAGTTAAATTTTTAGTGTAACCAGTACATGTCTTTGTAGATCACTGAGCAAACTACAAGATAAAGCAACTTTGCAATAAGACCTGTGTAGAGACTTGAAATTATTTGAATTATCTTGTATGTGCCACAAAATTGTATCTATTTATAGTTGATTAGGCCACAAAGTAGGTATTATTAAGTTGATTAAATCAATATATTTGGTTTGTCCTACCATTTTCAAGTATTTTCTGTGAAGCGTTCTTAGTCTATTTTGAACTCTGGGTATTCCTGCCATAAAAGTAAACATGCCTGTGTTTTATGGAAATATTTTCATATTTCTTTATAAAAATAGGTAGAAGTAGTTACTAGAATACCTGGTCTTTAATTTCCTAAAAAAACACAAATAACGTTTTTGTCTTGTAGGGAAGGTATAATATAGGTATATTAACAGCTGTATTATGAGGTTGACTAGTCTCATGAGGAAGATGTAAAGAGATCCCCAAGTACAGAGATATCACATTAGATTTTAATGATATAGGAGTGTGCCAGTTACTAAGCAATTATCTCAGCATGAAACCATCCTTTCTATGTTCCGCTTTGAGACTGGGCACAGTACTCTGCAAACCACGTTTCTGTTTTCTAGCTGACTTCCTTTAGACTGTGCTGCCAGTAGGGGGCTCTAGAGGGAGATTACAGGGCTGGGTGAAAGAAGGCACATGTTCCTTTCTTTTACTTTCGGTTGGCTTCAGGTTCCTTTGAGCAACCCAGCAATGCATCACCCTGGCTGCATCATTTTTTTCCTGTAGTGGGAACTGAATCTGGTTTGCAGTTTCTCTAATACAGAAGCAGCCTGAACATGCATCCCCTTCCTCAAGGATTTGGGTCTCAAACCTTGAGGCCCTCCTCTAAGCTCAGAGATGGTAGTAGTACCAGCCAATTTATGCCCTTTCTTCAGAAGTCTGAGTTTCATTTCCATGGGTTGCTCCTCTAAGCTTCCAAGTTTTAAAAATCCCAGCCTCTTCCCTTGTTTCCCCCAGTTTTAGGGTTGGTGGCTGCTTCCTGTAGTTGCCACCCACATATCTTAGTGTTCATTTCTTGCCTTTTCAGTTACCTAGTTACCACCTTTATACTTGGTTAATAATCTTTTATATGACATTCTTTCTATTTCCCTGACTAGTGTAACTTCTATCTCCTGATTAGACCCTGCATGATACTGGAAGGAATCAGGAACAAACTTAATGGAGAAACTAGTATTTCAGTTTGACTTGAAGGAAGAGTGGAATTTCAGTAGGTGAAAATCAGATTTCAAATAGAATGACCATCAGCATGAGTAAAGGTAGCAAAAGTGGGAGGGTATGATGTGTATTTAGGAAACACTTTATGTTTATCTAGGGGTCTTTTTGGTTTGTTGTTTTTTGGAGCACAAGACAAATGTTTTGAAAGAATATTAGAGAAATACATTGGGGCAGACAGTAATTTGGAGGGTCTTGAACTCTAGGCTGAGAAATTTGGACTTAATTGGTAACAATTAAATGATTTTTTTAAAATTACAGATTAAACAAATTTATTTTATTTCATTTATTTATTTTTATTTATTTATTTTTGGCTGCATTGGGTCTTCATTGCTGAGCGCAGCTTTCTCTAGTTGCGGCGAGCAGGGGTTCCTCTTCACTGCAGTACACAGGCTTCTTATTGTGGTGGCTTCTCTTGTTGCAGAGCATGGGCTCTAGGCGCCCGGGCTTCAGTAGTTGTGGCACGCGGGCTCAGTAGTTGTGGCTCGCAGGCTCTATAGCGCAGGCTCAGTAGTTGTGGCACACAGGCTTAGTTGCTCCGAGGCATGTGGGATCTTCCAGGACCAGGGCTCGAACCCATGTCCCCTGCATTGGCAGGTGGATTCTTAACCACTGCACCACCAGGGAAGTCCCTAAATGATTTTTTTTTAAGTGTAGTAATTTTCCCCTAGGAATGTTTGGATAATACATTCATGACAGATTATTAAGAAAAGTTAGGAATTTACATGGTAAAATCTTAAGGTTGTGCTGAGCCTCATTGTTTTCCCACAAAACATTCATCCAGTCAGAAACTACTGGGGGCCTGTATGTTGGGAATGCAACAATGAATATGGAAACATTTTCTATTCTCCACTCTAGTGGAGAAAAAAGATGTATACTTACATAATTAGAGAACAAAATGGATAGGTATGGGAATGCATAGAGAATTACAGAATATGAAATAGAGCAGAAAATGTGACCTAGAAGGACCAAGAAAAACTGAAAACTGATGTGTGTTTTAAATGATGACTAGCAATTGGCCATTCATAAAGGAGGGTATGAGCCAGGCTTAAAGAATACTTCTGAGAAAAGACAGAAATGGAGAAACAACATTGTTTTGGTAAACTCTAATGGGAAATTATATGATCTTTTCAAAAACAGATTCATTTTTCCCTTCTTGGTGTGGTTTTTCTGCTAATGGATGAAATTAAATTGGGAAGGAGCCTTAGCTCGTGCAATAGGGCATGTAATGCATATGTATGCATATTGATTTCTCAAATCCTGTGGTGGTTTTTATAGAGGATATTTCAAATGAATGGATTTTAATTATCCCACTTAAATTCAGTACTGGATAAATAATTTTCACTAGTGTGTATGTGGGAAGAGTATGTTCTTTGTGTGTACATACGTGTGTATTTACAGAGAGAGGGGAGAGGGACAGAGGAAGAAAGAGATGTATCTATAGAGTAGGAAACTGTGATAGAAACTTAAAAGAAATTCAAGGTAGCTGGTGCATTCACGTACAGTACTTTTCCCTAACAGAGGTATTGTACTAGTGAACTTTTAAGCCACAGAAATAATTTTTGGATTGCAAATGTTTACATCAAAATTATGAGTTGAGAGGACAGAAGAATCAAGTGAAACAAAAGAGAGAGAAACACAGGGAAAAGGAACCAAAGAGTGAATGTTGTGATTTTTCTTTAAATTTTTTTAGGTTCTTCAGTTGAACCATTATGTAGCATGAAAGGAAACTTTTATCGAAAATTTTTATGGAAACTTTTGGAAACTCTCCTTAAGAAAATTGAGAAGAAGCAACCTCTAATTATATTTTCTTATAGAGTTCATGTTGTCCTCATGTACAACAACTATATCATGGTTGGAAAATATCCAAATTTGATAATGACTGAGTTTATGAAAGTGTGCATGTTGTAGGTTTTTTTAAAAATTACTATTTTTTTTTTATGTTTTTTGTGTTTAGGCTAGACAGCAACAAGCAGAATTAGCCCAACAGGAATGGCTTCAAATGCAGCAAGCTGCCCAACAAGCACAGCTTGCTGCTGCTTCAGCAAGTGCATCCAACCAGGCAGGATCTTCTCAGGATGAAGAAGATGATGATGATATCTGAAATTCACCAGCTGAGTTTCTATTTCCTCTATAAATGTTTTTCCCTGCACAAGAAAACAGTGAAAGAAATGCTTATCTGTAATTTTGTATGCATCTTGGTGGACTTGCCATTGGTATTCTAGGGTTGTCTGCCGTTAAGTTTCATCTATTGTGTGCTATTCATGTAAAAACTGTCTCTTCTAACTATTGAAAATTTAAGGCTCAGTATAATATCAATTTTGAATTTTTAATGGTGTTTATGAAATTTTAGATAGCAGTGAGTCCTTTATTTGATCAATAAACAGTGTTACAGAAAACTTCAAGTTTATAAAAATACAGTGAAATTTATACAGAAGCTCTAAATCTTCATTTGCATTTCCTCTGCCCTTTTAACTAAACTAAAAATTGGGAATTTTAAATTATTGGGGGGGAGGTGCTATGTGATGCAGTAGATATTAGATCAGGCTGGTGAAAAAACAAAGAGTTCAGTTCTGTAGTATTTGGATTTTTTGTCTTTTAAAATGAGTATATATACAGGCACTAAATATATATGCTCAGATGAATATACTTGTTTTAAAAAATCTCAAACAAGACGTTCAGAAACTAGGGTGAGTATGTTCAGTAGTAGTTGTAAAGTTTGGTAGGTTATGTTTTGATTTTGTTTTTGTTTTATGTAGAGGTAAAAACTAAAGTTTTATTATAGCATAATTCATCTTGAGCTACACTATTACATTTCAAAGACTGCCCCGTTTTGAGGACTGTCATGATTCTTAGTATTTCACTCCAGTGATTGTTAATAGTATTACTTGCTTAGTCCATCCATGTTTATTGGAACTTGTGAAACAATTGCTTAGGTTCCGTTGGTTTAACTAAGGTTCATGAATATTCAAACCTTTGCTGGGGGAAAGAAATGAAAGTTAATGAGCATGCTTGCTATAAGACGGATTTTTTTGTAATTTAACTTGTAGTCATAGTTTACTTATTGTTTGTTTTTAGCATTACTTTTACAATTTCTTGACTAGATGGCCTAGAGTGTCCAATGCTTCCTTTTGAAATGGCATCATTGTCTCCATCATAATTGAGCTTTAAAAAAATGATTGTTTTATTTTGTTTAAGAAAGTGTATCATAATTGATCAGCCCTATATGAAACATAGTTTCAACCTGCTCATTACAAGGGAAAAGCTTTAATTTGGTTCCAATAAATAAACTATGGTAGTGATTTTTATAGGAATCCAGTGTGTTGAAGAACTGGCCTATTGTTTGTATTGAATGGAAAGCCACTTAAGATAGTATGAAGTAATCTAAATTCCTATGTCAGTTGCCAAATCTTTTAAATTTGTATATTCACCAGGTCTAAAGACAGATGGCAGATGCCAGGATTCCAATTTTAATTGAAGAGCTAAATAAGTGAAGTTTACAAGCATTAGATTTCTTAATGATCATATTTTGCAGTTTTAGAAAAAGTGAAATATTGTCATACATTTATTAAATACACTTCTTCCATGCCACAACTAAGTGAATCTTGCTTCATGTTTTGAGTTGAAGTTGGTATTGAATCCATGAAGTGCATTTGGACAAAATAGAAGGGATTGTTTTTTTAAAAGTTTAAGTACCAAAGGTAGTCTAGTCTAAGAAATAATAAGTTAATAAGTGTTGGCTTTTCTAACTTGTACTGTAACATCCTTATACTTTCTATTTTAAGTATATCTGTTTCTTATGTAAACAACTTAGATATTTTTCCATACTTTTTTTTTTGATGCAGAGTTCAGGTTAATTAATATTTTACTGCATCTGATAATGTATTATATGTTTGAATCCTAGTGACTTTTCATTTTGACATTCTTGTGATTTTCATATGCTATATTCTTCAAGCAATAAAATCTGATGTGTTTTATAAATTGTTTTTATATTTAATAATCTATATAGATTAATGGCATGAGATTTCTATTATTACCATTTTTACTAGTTTGAAGAATCCTAGGCCCAAAAGACATTTTGATCATTTGGTATATAGTACTTGACTTTCTCCTCTGTTTGCTGTTATTTCAGAAAATGTGGTTTTACTTGTATTTTTGTAATTTACAGTCCTAGGGTGCAGGCGTAACAGAGCTAATTAAGCAGTATTTTACTCTTAGCTTATTTTTTAGCAGTTAACTATTACATTCTGTCTGTTGAGATTTTTAAAATCCTTTGGAGAGAGAAACAAAATCTTTACGGTTGTTGAGAAATAAAGTTATTGTTTAGTAAGTATTTTCCCCACCTTGAATATATGTCTTTTTCAGCAGATTATCAGGTAAGTGTTGAAAAGGCATCAATTTTTAAACTTACATATACCATACATATAAGTACATAAATAAGGGTTTTCACAAATTAAACATACTCATTTTGGCAGCCCTCAGATCAAGAAACAGAGTGTTAAGAACATCCCAGAATCCCTCCTTTTGCCCCTGTCTCAGCACTATCTTCTTCTTCCTCCCCAGAAGTAACTACTATTCTGACTTCTAAAATCAGTTCTGCCTGTCTTTTATTTTATGTAAATGCATACATAATACACTCTTTTTTTGCTCATCATTATATTTGTGAGTGATTGGTTTCCGGATGCCACTGTAACAAAGTATCACAAACTTAGTGATTTAAAACAACACAAACGTATTCTCTTGCAGTCCTGAAGATCAGAAGTCCAAAATCAGTTTCATTAGGCCAAAGCTGAGGTTGGTTCCTGAATCTGGAAATTAATTGTGAGTGGAAAATCTGTTTCCTTGTCTTTTTTTCAGTTTCCAGTGTCTGCCTATAATCCTTGGCTTGTGGGCTCTTCCTCCATGTTCAAAGCTTCTGCTTTTATCATCACATCATCTTCTCTTGTTTATAGTCAAATATTCCTCTACATCTACATTTAGGGCCCACCTGGATAATCCAGGATAATCCCCCATCTCAAGATCCTTAATTTAATCATATCCACAAGGTCTCTTTTGTCATATACGGTAACATTTACATGTTCCAGGGCTTCAATCCTGGATATCTTAGGAGGCTGTTACTCAGCCTACTAGAGTGAGATTCATTCATATTGTTGCATGTATTTGTAGTTCATTCATTCTCATTGCTGAATAGTATTTCATTATCTACTTTTATTATATACAAAATTTATCCATTCTACCATTGATGGGCATTTGAGTGGTTTCTGGTTCTGGGCTATTATGAATAATGCTGTGGAGAACATTCTTATACATGTCTTTTGGTGAGTGTATATATGCATTTCTGTTGGATATATACTTGGGAGTGGAGTTGTTGGGTCATGGGGTGTGCATGTATTGGTGTTTACTATGTACTGTCAGTTTTCCAAAGTGTTTGTAAGAAGACACCATTTTAATGTGTACTATAATAATGAATTACTATAATGGTCTAGTGGCCTGAGAATGTTAATGAATTTCTTGAAATTCTTAAATTATACCAAATGAGTTATACTTGCTACAGCAGGTCTGTTATTTAGTATGAAAGCAAGAGGAAAATAAAGCAAAAGTATTTGTTCTTGTTATTATTTTTTTTTTTTACATCTTTATTGGAGTATAATTGCTTTACAATGGTGTGTTAGTTTCTGCTGTATAACAAAGTGAATCAGTTATACATATACATATGTTCCCATATCTCTTCCCTCTTGCGTCTCCCTCCCACCCTCCCTATCCCACCCCTCCAGGCGGTCACAAAGCACCGAGCTGATCTCCCTGTGCTATGCGGCTGCTTCCCACTAGCTATCTACCTTGCATTTGGTAGTGTATATATGTCCATGCCTCTCTCTCGCTTTGTCACAGCTTACCCATCCCCCTCCCCATATCCTCAAGTCCATTCTCTAGTAGGTCTGTGTCTTTATTCCTGTCTTAGCCCTAGGTTCTTCATGACATTTTTTTTTTCTTAAATTCCATATATATGTGTTAGCATACAGTATTTGTCTTTCTCTTTCTGACTTACTTCACTCTGTATGACAGACTCTAGGTCTATCCACCTCATTACAAATAGCTCAATTTCGTTTCTTTTTATGGCCGAGTAATATTCCATTGTATATATGTGCCACATCTTTATCCATTCATCCAATGATGGACACTTAGGTTGTTTCCATCTCCGGGCTATTGTAAATAGAGCTGCAATGAACACTTTGGTACATGACTCTTTTTGAATTATGGTTTTCTCAGGGTATACGCCCAGTAGTGGGATTGCTGGGTCATATGGTAGTTCTATTTGTAGTTTTTTAAGGAACCCTCCATACTGTTCTCCACAGTGGCTGTATCAATTTACATTCCCACCAACAGTGCAAGAGGGTTCCCTTTTCTCCACACCCTCTCCATCATTTACTGTTCTAGATTTTTTGATGATGGCCATTCTGACTGGTGTGAGATGATATCTTATTGTAGTTTTGATTTGCATTTCTCTAATGATTAATGATGTTGAGCATTCTTTCATGTGTTTGTTGGCAGTCTGCATATCTTCTTTGGAGAAATGTCTATTTAGGTCTTCTGCCCATTTTTGGATTGGGTTGTTTGTTTTTTTGTTATTGAGCTGCATGAGCTGCTTATAAATTTTGGAGATTAATCCTTTGTTAGTTGCTTCATTTGAAAATATTTTCTCTCATTCTGAGGGTTGTCTTTTGGTCTTGTTTATGGTTTTCTTTGCTGTGCAAAAGCTTTGAAGTTTCATTGGTCCCATTTGTTTATTTTTGTTTTTATTTCCATTTCTCTAGGAGGTGGGTCAAAAAGGATCTTGCTGTGATTTATGTCATAGAGTGTTCTGCCTGTGTTTTCCTCTAAGAGTTTGATAGTTTCTGTCCTTACATTTAGGTCTGTAATCCATTTTGAGCTTATTTTTGTGTATGGTGTTAGGGAGTAATCTAATCTCATACTTTTACATGTACCTGTCCAGTTTTCCCAGCACTACTTATTGAAGAGGCTGTCCTTTCTCCACTGTACATTCCTGCCTCCTTTATCAAAGATAAAGTGACCATATGTGCGTGGGTTTATCTCTTGGCTTTCTATCCTGTTCCATTGATCTATCTTTCTGTTTTTGTGCCAGTACCATACTGTCTTCATTACTGTAGCTTTGTAGTATAGTCTGAAGTCAGGGAGCCTGATTCCTCCAGCTTCGTTTTTCATTCTCAAGATTGCTTTGGCTATTCAGGGTCTTTTGTGTTTCCATACAAATTGTGAAATTTTTTGTTCTAGTTCTGTGAAAAATGCCAGTGGTAGTTTGATAGGGATTGCATTGAATCTGTAGATTGCTTTGGGTAGTAGAGTCATTTTCACAATGTTGATTCTTCCAATCTAAGAACGTGGTATATCTCTCCATCTATTTGTATCATCTTTAATTTCTTTCATCAGTGTCTTATAATTTTCTGCATACAGGTCTTTTGTCTCCTTAGGTAGGTTTATTCCTAGATATTTTATTCTTTTTGTTGCAATGGTAAATGGGAGTGTTTTCTTGATTTCACTTTCAGATTTTTCATCATTAGTGTATAGAAATGCCAGAGATTTCTGTGCATTAATTTTGTGTCCTGCAACTTTACCAAATTCATTGATTAGCTCTAGTAGTTTTCTGGTAGCATCTTTAGGATTCTCTATGTATAGTATCATGTCATCTGCAAACAGTGACAGCTTTACTTCTTCTTCTCCGATTTGGATTCCTTTTATTTCCTTTTCTTCTCTGATTGCTGTGGCTAAAACTTCCAAAACTATGTTGAGTAAGAGTGGTGAGAGTGGGCAACCTTGTCTTCTTGTTCCTGATCTTAGTGGAAATGCTTTCAGTTTTTCACCATTGAGGATGATATTGGCTGTGGGTTTGTCATATATGGCCTTTATTATGTTGAGGAAAGTTCCCTCTATGCCTACTTTCTGCAGGGTTTTTATCATAAATGGGTGTTGAATTTTGTCGAAAGCTTTCTCTGCATCTATTGAGATGATCGTATGGTTTTTCTCCTTCAATTTGTTAATATGGTGTATCACATTGATTGATTTGCATATATTGAAGAATCCTTGCATTCCTGGAATAAACCCCACTCGATCATGGTGTATAATCCTTTTAATGTGCTATTGGATTCTGTTTGCTAGTATTTTGTTGAGGATTTTTGCATCTGTGTTCATCAGTGATATTGGCCTGTAGTTTTCTTTGTGACATCCTTGTCTGGTTTTGGTATCAAGGTGATGGTGGCCTCGTAGAATGAGTTTGGGAGTGTTCCTCCCTCTGCTATATTTTGGAAGAGTTTCAGAAGGATAGGTGTTAGCTCTTCTCTAAATGTTTGATAGAATTCGCCTTTGAAGCCATCTGGTCCTGGGCTTTTGTTTGTTGGAATATTTTTAATCACAGTTTCAGTTTCAGTGCTTGTGATTGGTCTGTTCATATTTTCTGTTTCTTCCTGATTCAATCATGGCAGGTTGTGCATTTCTAAGAATTTGTCCGTTTCTTGCAGGTTGTCCATTTTATTGGCATAGAGTTGCTTGTAGTAATCTCTCATGATCTTTTGTATTTCTGCAGTGTCAGTTGTTACTTCTCCTTTTCCATTTCTAATTCTATTGATTTGAGTCTTCTCCCTTTTTTTCTTGATGAGTCTGGCTAATGGTTTATCAATTTTGTTTATCTTCTCAAAGAACCAGCTTTTAGTTTTATTGATCTTTGCTCTCATTTCCTTAATTTCTTTTTCATTTATTTCTGATCTGATTTTTATGATTACTTTCTTTCTGCTAACTTTGGGGTTTTTTTGTTCTTCTTTCTCTAATTGCTTTAGGTGCAAGGTTAGGTTGTTTATTTGAGATGTTTCCTGTTTCTTAAGGTAGGATTGTATTGCTATAAACTTCCCTCTTAGAACTGCTTTTGCTGCATCCCATAGGTTGTGGGTCGTCGTGTCTCCATTGTCATTTGTTTCTAGGTATTTTTTGATTTCCTCTTTGATTTCTTCAGTGATCACCTCATTATTAAGTAGTGTATTGTTTAGCCTCCATGTGTTTGTATTTTTTACAGATTTTTTTTCCTGTAATTGATATCTAGTCTCATAGCGTTGTGGTCGGAAAAGATACTTGATACAATTTCAATTTTATTAAATTTACCAAGGCTTGATTTGTGACCCAAGATATGATCTATGCTGGAGAATGTTCCATGAGCACTTGAGAAAAATATGTATTCTGTTGTTTTTGGATGGAATGTCCTATAAATATCAATTAAGTCCATCTTGTTTAATGTATCATTTAAAGTTTGTGTTTCCTTATTTATTTTCATTTTGGATGATCTGTCCATTGGTGAAAGTGGGGTGTTAAAGTCCTCTACTATGAATGTGTTACTGTCAGTTTCCCCTTTTATGGCTGTTAGTATTTGCCTTATGTACTGAGGTGCTCCTATGTTGGGTGCATAAATATTTACAATTGTTATATCTTCTTCTTGGATCGATCCCTTGATCATTATGTAGTGTCCTTTGTCTCTTCTAATAGTCTTTATTTTAAATTCTATTTTGTCTGATATGAGAATTGCAACTCCAGCTTTCTTTTGATTTCCATTTGCATGGAATATCTTTTTCCATTCCCTCACTTTCAGTCTGTACATGTCCCTAGGTCTGAAGTGGGTCTCTTGTAGACAGCATGTATATGGGTCTTGTTTTTGTATCCATTCAGCCGGTCTGTGTGTTTTGGTGGTAGCATTTAGTCCATTTACATTTACGGTAATTATCAATATGTATGTTCCTACTCCCATTTTCTTAATTGTTTTGGGTTCGTTATTGTAGGTCTTTTCCTTCTCTTGTGTTTCTTGCCTAGAGAAGTTCCTTTAGCATTTGTTGTAAAGCTGGCTTGGTGGTGCTGAACTCTCTTAGCTTTTGTTTGTAAAGGTTTCAATTTCTCCATCAAATCTGAATGAGATCCTTGCTGGGTAGAGTAATCTTGGTTGCAAGTTTTTCTCCTTCATCACTTTAAATATGTCCTGCCAGTCCCTTCTGGCTTGCAGAGTTTCTGCTGAAAGATCAGCTGTTAACCTTATGGGGATTCCCTTGTGTGTTATTTGTTGTTTTTCCCTTTGCTGCTTTTAATATGTTTTCTTTGTATTTAATTTTTGACAGTTTGATTAATATGTGTCTTGGCATATTTCTCCTTGGATTTATCCTGTATGGGACTCTCTGTGTTTCCTGGACTTGATTAACTATTTCCTTTCCCATATTAGGGAAGTTTTCAACAATAATCTCTTCAAATATTTTCTCAGTCCCTTTTTCTCTTCTTCTTCTGGAACCCCTATAATTCGAATGTTGGTGCGTTTAATGTTGTCCCAGAGGTCTCTGAGACTGTCCTCAGTTCTTTTCATTCTTTTTTCTTTATTCTGCTCTGCAGTAGTTATTTCCACTATTTTATCTTCCAGGTCACTTATCTGTTCTTCTGCCTCAGTTATTCTGCTATTGATCCCATCTAGAGTATTTTTCACTTCATTTATTGTGTTGTTCATCGTTGTTTGTTTCATCTTTAGTTCTTCAAGGTCCTTGTTAAATGTTTCTTGCATTTTGTCTATTCTATTTCCAAG